TAAAAAAAATCTTTATGTAATAGATTAAAAAACTAAGTGTTGTGTATAGTCCTTGATACATGTAACTTCAAAACAATGAGCAACCAACAATCAGATAAGAAGTTTTTTTTCAAGTTTTAAATAAATGAAAACAAATGAACTACTTAAATCGGATTTGCTTATAGATGAATTCTACAACTAGAGAGATGCAATATACAGCTTTAGAATAAATACACATGCAGATATCAAAAATCATAATGGGAAAAAAGGGAAGGACGGGCGTGAATGAGGAGATGACAATATGAGCAATGCATAGATCACAGAGAACTGCTTAAAAATCATTGATGGGGAACTAAACGAGGGCAGAAAGGTTGCATGGTGTCCTCAATTGCCATGAGCATTGGATATGAATATTTTGGGAAACCCATTATCAAATTTCCGAAAAGAAACAAAATTTACAAAAATTGAATACAAGAGCAATGCAGAAACAATACAACTTATGCATTTATAATGAAAAGTAAATTTTTCCATGGCAAATGCCTAATGACAGCTCACCTCCATGTGAGGCTACAGAGCTCAAAGTCATCAGATTGAGTCGTGACTTTCTAAGCGATCGACTTGGTCTCAGCAAAGTAGAGAAGGTAGACCTTCTTCACTGCCGATTCGGAAGCCGTTCCACCTGAGGTTATGGAGATGTGTGGAAGAACATGATTAGGAGTATTTATTTGTTCATTCAATATTTAAATTAAAAATTTGTGAATTACTCACAAATAAAGAAATAAATAAGAAGATAATGTTAAGAAACTAAACTGAGCAGAGGTGGAGTGAGAAGAATAAGACGAGTGTCCGATCTGAGGATGAGCAGAGAATGCTTGGATCCAAGCATCGACATCAACCTCCGGGTTCACAGCTTCGTCGAGAGATGAGAAAGGGGAAGCTTTCGCGAATTTGGTGCTTCCACAGAATGCTAAGAACTCCTCCTTTCCAAAATTTCGGTGAGAACAGAGAGAACATAGAAGAGAAGATCTTTAATTTTGAGGAAATTTTGTACTTCTAGGGTTTGTAAAAGCAGAGAGAGTGAGAAATGAGCGATTTAACCAAGTATTTGAAAAGGAGGTCAAGCCAAGCCGCTAATATCATAATAAAGGGAGCCAGCCAAGCTTCTTTGGGTTATTTGTGAGTGGAGCCGAATGGGCTGCAGCTTCCTTTGACAAGTTGGGACTGATAAAAAGTCCCAAATATTAACAGAAAATAATGAAAATCATTTTTTTACATTACACACCAATGTCTATTCCAAATACTTTTAATAGGCACTATGGTAGAATTGGTTTCCAAAATAATTCACATGGCACTTTTATGAATTTGTATCTATTACATCAGTGAGTAGTAGCCATATTTCTAGTAGTGAAAATATATGGTGTCCGCACAGTAATAACGTCACAAGAGAAATAACACAAATAAAACATAAGCTCAAAGGACCTTTATTATGTATTTTACTATTTAACTATTATACAATGACAGATGTTTTTATCCATCAATACACAATGAAGAGCAAACGAATGCTTCAAGTCTCTTTACACAAAAACTCCTCCCTTAATTGATTTTGTGACAGTTTTGTCGCACTTCTCCTTTGGAACCTTCCTTAACATCCAGCGTGCTCATTTTCACCATTGCCTGTTGAAAGTCAAGGAAGAACATGGCTTGGTTGAAGGCATAACCATTTACAATGTTTCTGGTCCTTGCAAATGCAAACAGAGTTTGGTCAGAAGCCAGTAGTCCGGTGTTCCGCTGCAGTGCATTGAAGTAAAGGTTATCGAAACGGTTTCTCGTCGCATCAAAGGGCTGCTCGGTATTGTCCCCGGCACTGCAGGTTTTGGTCAGTTGCTTTGCAAACCCTGAATCTAAGTTTGGATCCACAGCATCACTCAATCGGTTTTTGAATGAAGAGCACCTGGCTACACCTAGTGTATGTGCACCTACAAAGTACAAAACCAATATATACATATATGAACCCTTAAATTAAGACAAAAACTTATGTGGACATTCTGCCAGCAGGTAGCGTCTAGTTAGAACATAACATGTGTTACATGATTTGACCGGACAATATCTGTCACTCAATCGGCTACATAACATGGTCGTTTGTAAATTTTAAGAGGGAGCATGTATATGTTTACCAGATAGAGCCACCATTTCTTGGGCAGTAAAACCATGTTGCCCAAACATTTTAATGAGTTCAGAGGCATTCAAGGTGGGTGGAGGCAGGTTCCTTGTGTCTTCTATTTTAGACCTACTTCCGTCCTTTCTTCCTTTGGGTATGTCAATATATGGACCTCCAGCCTGTTGTTAATCAAATCCCATCAACAAACAGTAAAGTCTAATGATTAATTTCACACACAAAAAAAAAGAAGAACAAAATTTAATTTATGAATGAATTCATATGTCCTTAATTACCTCAAAAACTGCATATGTAGAAGCCATTGCAACTATATCAGCGCATGAGACAACGCCAGGGCATTGTTTTTCAAGCTCCTCCTTTGCAGCATCAATTACTTCATAGCCTCTCAGGCTCAAATTTGCAGGGGAGTCCTTCTCTGCTGTGTTGCCTTTTGTTGAATCTAGGAGAATTGACGCATCACATCCCTAAATATTCATTCAACGAGGAAACAAAAGGTTTTTTTTTGTAATTAGAAATGAAAATGTGGAGTTATTAAATCCCTTAAAAAATTAATTTAACAAGAAAACAAAATATTATACTATTCGGGTGTGTGTTGCGTGTAATTAATGTACTGATTGAAAAGTAATATATGAATAACAAAGGAAGAGTGTAGATGTAGCACACTTAGCACTCAATAGAAAAAACATAAAGTTAAAAATAGTTAACTAGCTGTTACTCTATAGTTGTGTTACGATATTATTAGTGGTTCGTAAAGAAGCACTCTTGTGTTTTTTTCAGAAAGCACTTTCAAATGAATAAGCATGAAAACCTTTTTATTTTCTTAATAAAAATTTCGTGTACTTCTAACAAAACCTTCAAAATTTAAACAAATTTAAACAATATGCTTGTGTTGTGTGTGTTGAGAGAGAGAGAGAGAGAGAGAGAGAGAGAGATCTATGAAGCAATCATGGAAATGCATTCTGATTAGGCCTGCTGCTAAGGTTGGATCAGCTTGCAAGGCTCTGGTGACTGAATTTCTCACGATAAATTCGGCCATCGGGCAGCTCATACTGTAATATCCCATACTCAAACCATCTGCTCCAGATCGAGATTAGGAAACAGAAAACTATAAATACATTTGTAGCCTGAGCCTTTTGTAAACACTAGCTACTGTGATTTAGGGTTTCCAAAATTCCCTATAATCTTTTCTCTTTCAAACGATCGAGACCCTTCACTTCACTAGCTACTTTCTCTTTCAGACAAGATGAAGGCTTTGAAGGAACAGCGAGAGCCTCCTGTTGACGTTCACGTTGACGATGACGACTTTGCTGGACTCGCTTGCCCTCTCGACGACCTTGAAGCTGTCTTCATCCTTGAAAGTGAAACCACGACTTTCGATCCCTCCAACTTGTTCCACGACGTCAAACTTGATGACCACGACATGGCAATTCAAGAGAAGCCCAAGAAACCACCATCTCACGGCAAAGGCAAGAGTTTGGAGACCCTCCGCTTGGTGCTATGCCCACCACCTCCATCTTCTTGTCAACAAAACCCTACGGGGCCAGCAAAATCTGATGCTCACCATCAACGGCAAGACTGGGATGATGAAGAGAAGTTGGAGAATAGCAAGCGAAAGCTTCACCAAGGCTATCAAGAGTTCCAAAACAAGCGAAAGAAAATTCAAGTTATCGACATCAAGAACTTGGCTTTGCCGTCTAAGCCGGGACGAGGTCGGGTTTTGACAAAGAACAAGTTTCTGATCAGCTCCAGGAAATGCCGAGCCTTATGATTTCTTGGAGAACACGTTTCTTATTGTCTAGTTTATTCTTTAATTGATATCAGATGTAAGTACATGGTTTTTGAACCACAAAACGATTATAAGTACATGGTTTTTTAGGAGAGGAGAGCTAGCACATTTTTTATTCAATTCATTCTGTAATTGTGATCAGTTTATGTACAATTGTAATTCAAGTTTCTCGACTCCAAACTTCTCTTGATCAGTTTTGATTATAAAGCAAACTGAAACACACAAAACACGCGAGTGGGATATTTTGGTTCAATTTGAGCGATTTTTTCCTGTTGATTTTCTCTCTGCTTTGATCATTTTCAAGTTTTTCTCACTTCTCTTCACAGCCTCTTTATCTCTCTGATTTCTTAACCATAAAATGATTATAAGTACATGGGTTTTTGTAACAGCAATGCCAACCAATATTCCTAGTGCTTTGATAGACACGGGTCAGAGCCGAGTTGTAGATGTTCCTAGTGCTAAAAGGTACCTATTTTCCATGTTGGGTACCTATTTTCTTAACTGATAATATTTGCACTTTTTTTCCCTGCATTCAAAGATTATAATCTTTATAACTTTTCACATATAGTTAATGCATCTCTGATTCTCAAGTATAAACCTCCACAGGAGCTTTGCCGTTAGCAAAAGTAGCACTTTTCTGTTGGCCTCTGTCAAGAGAACAAGGAAAACGATTTGGTGTTGTGCAGTATGAAATGGAAACCTTTTCAAGAGATCGTCATTTTTTTTGGAAAACCTGGTCTCCATCTCTTCCTCTCTGTTTCTCTTTTGTTCCTCCTTACTTTCCTATGCATATCCATCACTATTTGTGCGTCTTATCATTATGACATATGAGCAAATCATGAAACCATACAATCAAGGTCTGATAATTGCATAGCATCCATACTGAGAGTTATAATTGCATATGCCGTCCATACCGAAAGTAACTCGCAAGAATTTTGTGTGACAGAAATTAAGGGAAGGTGTGAAAGGACGTGTACATCTAAAGTTGAACTAAAAACTTATCAAATTATGCGGGGGTAAAACAAAAGAATCAAGGATAAGTAATAGCTGTGCCAAAAATTTGAGAAAAGTGCCTGATCCATTCGTTGAACATGATTAATTAAGACTTCCTAAAAAGTCCAGATCTTCTATATTCTGATGTACTAATAGCAAAATTCGATAATCACCAAATTAAAAGAACAAAACTTCAAAACAGCATTAATTTCAGCAAAGTACCACGCAAAAAACAGTAAATAAGTAAACAAGGTCCTTCGATGACTAAAATCATCCAGCATCTCAATCTTCCTCCTCCCCTTCATTCTCGGCAATGTTGAAGTACCTTAGTTCATAAACATTCCGATCCTTGTTGGAAGCGATCACTCTAAGCCAATCTCGCACATTGTGCTTCTTTAGATACTTCTTTGTCAAGTACTTCAGATACCTGAACCCCACGAGAACAACAAAAATACTAGTAAAACAATGCAACAATGAAACAACGTCTAGAGTTAAGGCAGAAAAACGAGCTTAACCAATGCTAGATTCACACAAAATGAATACTAAAAGAAACAATCAACTGAGGGCCCTAGGCTGGGTAATGACAAGAGCGGTAACACCCTTCCTCATACTTAAATTTCAAAAGTTTTGGAACATCAGACGAGTCACAATCACCGAACTAGTTTTACCATTTCCATATTTCAACCACAAAATAGCTCAATGTAATGCACGAGGCTATAAAAAACGTAATCTTCTTTACTTCTAGGAAGAGTGAATATAATTAAAAGAAGAGAAACAAAATATCAAATATTAATGTTCGTGAACAATGTGGATTTCAGTTAAAAACTAATGCCTTTGATGCTTCCAGGAAAATCAACTCAATGAAGCTTTAACCTTTAGATGGCTATGCAGATTGATTTCCTTTCATATCTATATAAGAGCTTGACAGTTAAAAGCAGCATTGCTATCATCACCAAGATGACAAGGTATCAGTCCAAAATACAACTGATCCTCTATATACACAGGTGCAACATTACATCAATAAAGCATTCTAAACAGAAATCAGAACTAAATAAAATTCAATGTCTGATATCAATCTCACCAACTATATAAATGAACGCATGAACTCTATAAACTAACCTCTTAGAGTTCAATCACAAAAGATCAATCAAATTACCTCTTAGAGAAGTTACTGTCAGAAGTGACAGTGATCTTGCTCTTCTCCCGGGTCACACTGACGGCGTCACCAAGTGCACCGGCCTTGCCTCCAACCTTGATCCTCTCCTGAAGAAACTTCTCCAGGGATGCAATGTCCATGATCTTGTCCTCCACTGGCTTTCCACAATCAATGGTGAAAGTCACTCCCTTCTTTTTCCCCTTGGGACCTGCTGCAGCTCCTCGACTCATTGTCGATTATCTTCTGCAACCCACACAAATCAAATCAATGCCTAAGATCAACTAGAGAAATGTCATCTACATACAAATTTGAAGAAGGTCAAAATGCGTGTATTATATACCACACAAAGCATATCAACACAAAATATGTAACAGCTAACAGATTTATACACAAATATATGAAACCCTTTTCCTACAGGGATAGGTTCCAACTGCATCTTTAGAAAATACAGCGGAACAATCAGCTATTTGCTTGTAAAACTTGATAATTACATCACTGAACACAAAATTCCATAAGCTGAAGACAGGAGCAGATAGAGATATGCATATTCCATATTTTCATTTTTGAACTCAATCTAAAACACCATCAATTAAATTTCAATACCACAATCACCTATGAGTTCACAAATCTAGAAATTTTGAATCCCAAAACAACAGCAACTGAAATTCTGAAGTAAACCCAAAAAGAAACCAAAAATCAAAAATACAATATTATCACCAAAAAAGTTCACATCCGTAGTGCGCATGGGAACCGAACAAAAAGAGAACGAGAGGAAAATATAGAACGTACCGAGAGTCGAGCGAGAAAGAGAGAGAGAGGGTTGATGAGTTCTGTTAGACAATGAAGAAGACGGCCAAGAAGAAAAGAGTTTCGCGGCGGCAGTATGCTAATATAAAGAGAAGAAATGAGTTAGGGTTTACTAACGTGCTGAGTCTTGTATCCCGTGTGCGCAGGTGTATGGTAATACAAAGTTTCAACCACTAACAAAATGACACGAGTTACTGTACAAGGCCGAAGCTGTAATAACAATTCTTCTCTACACACGAATTTTTAAAAATAAAAAAAAAATTTCCCCAAAACACAAGCGAATTTATTTTGTCTTGGGTAAATAACATGTAATGTAAATTATCTAATTTGCGGGGAGATGGAACGAACTTGAGTGTAAGGGGTGTGATTTCACCCCAAGTCAATTAGCCTAACCCACGTATGCTTGTATTGAATTAAACATTACATAATTGGGTATACAATATGTCATAATTGGGTTGATTCACATAACTTAATTCAATGCCAGAAACCTGACCTAAAATAAATATATTCAAGGCCGAAACCCAAAATATCTTAAATAAGATGGCCCATAATTGAAAGGCGAAATTTAATTTTGATCCCTATAGTTTCAATTATGAATTGAACTCCATGTTTTTAGTTGATCCCTATAGTTTCAATTATGAATTGAACTCCATGTTTATTAGTTGTTGCAGTTCTAGGACAATAACTCTTTCCCTTTTTTTCTTTTTTTTCGACAAAATTGGTAGGTGAAGGCAATGTAAGAGCTAAAACTTTAACTCCGAAGGGCATGTGGAATATTCGAAATAGATTTTGAAAAACTTGGATGCTAAAATAAATTGATATAGTTTATGAGCGTCTGACCAGACGCAGACGCAGACGCATTTGTTATCTGTACTGTACATAAGATGTAATACTGATAAATTGATTGGAGGGTTATGCAATGAAATACAGATTTATATGACATAAAATTCATTAAACTGAAACAATACTTGACTGGAACAACAATGTCAAACTCAAATTCTGTGAACATTCAGTTGTGTGAAGTATCCTAATGTCAAGATCGCAATGCTATAGGTTAAGCCAAAACCAGCCTACAATGACTCCCAAGCTTCTTCCAAAACATGTTCCAGACAAAGGATCCAAATGATGCAATGATATTCAAATTATCCAATTGAAAGATTAAAGATAAATCTGCCAAAAAAAATTTGTGAACACTTGAAAATCCAAACAAAATCAACTACCAAGGAGTTCCACAATGAAGATTTTCATAAAGTTCCAAACTTGAAGCAAACAAGTAACAAACTAAAAACTAGTCCTGATTTTTCAATGTGAGCACCTAGAATTGGTGCCGATCATATCCGACCTAAGCCACAAGGGTGCTGGCGGTGGTAGACTCACTGCAAACAGAGATAAAAGGATATAAGCAGTTAAGGAACAACTAGTAGACACAAAATAAGATATAATTTGAATTGAGCAAGCAGCAGAAGCAATGCTCTTCAATGCGCAAATTTGTATAAGCAGTCATGAAAAGAAGATAATTTCATATACAGAACCCACTCCAGCCTCACTCTCACAGATGCCACCCTGTAACTAGAATGTTTATGGAAATGGGGGGAAACCAAACACTAACATTAGACATATCTCGCATCGATTTCATGTCTGAGGGGAAAGCATTCTACCAATGTACAAGTTTCTTGAGGACAGCATATAAGAAAATTAGCTTCCCACATATAATGGGTTCTTCAGATTGTGAATGTCTGGGGAAAGGCAAAATCAATTACAGTAAGCAGTAGAATCCTAAATTACAGCATCTAATTTCCATATAGGATAACACACTCTACCTAGTGTTAGAATGAACAATCCCATTAGGTGTCTTCAAGTGAGGCTAAGAAAACCCCCATTACAGTCACATGAATAAGACAAAAGTAAACGGAAAAAAAATACTTACTATTTCCATACTGGTGGAAGCTTCTTTGTCTTCTTGTAGTAACGAGCAAGGCGATGGATTCTGCTCTCAACCAAAATCAGTCTAAATTTAGAGTCCTTGTCCTTCCTATTCCTTTCCAGATGTTTTCTAATTGAGACGGCTTTCTTGATGAGGTGGTATAAATCCTCAGGTATTTCAGGGGCAAGACCTAACCCAACAAAGAAAAAAGGATAACAAAATCATTTACTCATTTGTCTTCAAATATAAACCAAAATATGGCAGTAGAAATAAATAAAAAGACGCACCATGCGCTTTCAGTATACGCAATATCTTGCTTCCGGTAACACTCTTCACCTGAGCAATCCCATGAGAATCACGTAGAATAACACCAATTTGGGAGGGTGTTAAACCCTTCTTGGCAAACTTGCAGATGTTCTCCTCAACCTTAAAGATAAAACCAACATGGTAAGCATAATACACAAAATTTGCATTGTAAGTCAATTCTCTTGGAAATATCAGTAGTTAACAGACAACCGAATATGCTCTCATTCATTCAATAAAGAGGACTGGGTTTGCAGCATTTGCCATTGCCACAAAGGTATGTGGTCATTCATTGTAGATATAAAGACATAATAAAATTGATTAAATGAACATGGAACGCAAAACAAACTTGAAGTTTTGATTATTCTAAAATGCCAAAATCACTCAACTTGAACCAAACAAAAGAAACGGTCATTATGGTTTTCAATGGTAGAATTGTAAAGATCCCAACTACAATCGCAAGGCATTAACAGACTTGTAAGTACGAAAACTCGATGCTACTTAGAACATCATGAGTATGTATGACACAACAATCAGACTCGAGCTTTCATTTGGTGCAGACAGCAAGGAGAGATGTGCCCAAATGAAATTAAAATAGACATCAAAAGGAGAGAAAAACTCAATCAAATATCAAAAGATCGTCTTTTGCTTATCTCACTATATATCTCATAAATCAATCCATTCACAGAAGATAAAAGACAGACCGAGAGAGGTGAACTAATAAGGCTCTGTTCGGTTGCTAATTGACTAAAGAAGACCCACAAAACGTAATTACCAGATAAAAAACGATCCTTTACTGTCTGATACCAAATGGGTAAGAACAGCTTCTTCTTTTTTGTTCATTTTCGCAAAAGTGCGGAATGAAATTGAGCAAAATATTCAAAACTTACTTCAATTTCTCATTTACCAAACAAATCACAACATAACCCAATTACTTATTCAAGAGTTAGAGTTCGGGTTTCTCACATCCTGAGTAGATATCTTCAGCCAGCTCGGGGGGGTCCTCTTGTATGGAAGAGCTGAAGCCGATATACCCTTACTGCAAAAAGGGCACAAAATACAACCACCAAAAAATGGGTCAAATGTCAAACAAATCAACTGAATGCGAGAAGGATTCACAGAGCTTATATACAGAGCTTGCTCAGATAACAAGAAAAAACGAACCCTCTGCTGTGCATACGCCCCATGGCGACTGGTTTGTCGTCTCTGAACCCTTTCTGGTCACTCTAGTTTTGCCTCTCTCCTGTTACCCGCCGAGAAACCCTAAAATAAGGAGAGAGGTGGCTAAGGTAATTCAGTAACTCAAATTGTCAAATTCAGAAAAAATTTAAAATAAAATATAAAACACATAAATATAAAATTACGATTTTGGTAATGTGTAGAGGGGTTTTTAGACCGAAAATAATTTTGCCGACAAAAAGTACCAAGACATTGAGAAAATAATATGAATTAATCTTCTAGAATTTGTAAGGGCCGTCTGGTAATGTTTTCAGAGAGCATTTTCAAAGAATGTTTTCATAGAATGAAAACGAGAAAATGAAAACGTATTTTCAGAGAACAAAAACGCGTCTGGTAGCTTAGTTGAAAATTGTTTTCAGAGAAAAAAAACATTGAAAACGCGTCTGGCAGTAATATGTGAAAATAACAAAAACAGTGAAGATGTATGTAACTTTAATTAAAATGCATTATGTTTTTTTTAATACAACATTATGTGATCAATATGTGAGTTTTTAAAAAAAATAATAAAAATTAGTACGTATATTATTTAAAAAAAATATTTTTTAATCATTTAAAAGAATATTATTTAAAAAATAGAATAAAATTCTATAGTATAAAACTAGAATTATCTTTTTAAAAAAAATTGAAACCTCAACCCAACCTTCGCTTTCACTCTCTGCAAACCCCCNNNTCTCTCTCTCTCCAAAATTGAAGAATCAGACCAACCCCCCTATTTTCCACTTTCTCTTCATGCTGCTGCACCCTCTCTCTGTCTCTCTCTCACAGCAACCTCACCTTCCAATAGCTTCCCAGCTCATATTTCTTTTCTTGGATTGAAAATTGATTCGGCAATTAGTTGTTCAACGATGGTGGTTCAATTCAATTGCGTAGAGATTTTGTTGGGTTCGATTGAGTGGCAGTGATATCAATCTAGTTCGATGGGGCGGCGGTGATTTTGATTGGGTGATGTTGGTGGTTCAAGTTCTGGGTGTGGTTCTCTGTTGGCAGCTTTTGACGGTGATTTTGGTCTGATGGGGAGAGAAGCAACGTGTTTTCAGTGTTGTTTCCTGTGAGAATAAAAACAGCTTTTTTCTGTTTTCTACAAGTAAACGTGAAGTTGTTTTTGTTTTCATAAAACGTTCTCTGTATTTTCTGTTTTTGCCTACCGAACATGTTTTCTGTTTGTTTTTGTTCTCTCAAAATGAAAATGGGCTCTCAAAACATAAACGAACGGGCCCTAAGTTTTGCCAACTTAAACAGTATGATGGAATTAGACCAACAATCGAATCTTTATGCGTAGAGATGTTCCTTTAATCCTTTATATCTTAATCATTTTTTTTACTTGTTACTTCCTCATCTCAATAAAATGATATCGCTTGCTATCAAAAAGCATGATGAGATTTAAACATATTATTAAGTTTAACCTTTCAATGGGCATGAACTTATAAATGAGAGGTGATGTGATGATGTTGGTAGTGGGAGAAGTTTTGAGGATGGTATTAGGCAGTTGGTTACGGTAGGAGTGGTTGCGACAATGATGGTTGCAGTGGTGGTGGATGTGTGATTGCAATGGCAAGCTAATGGTAATGGTGGCAATGGTGGTTGCGATGGCAGTGATGATGATTGGGCTGGTTGTGGTGACGATGATATCAATGGTGCTCGTGGCAACCATGAAAAGATGGTGGTGTACGTTAGTGGTGGTGGCACAATTTAATAAGTGACATAAAATGTTACTACTTCAACCATAATACATGTTCATTCATTCTTTCATACAACTTCATGGTCATGACCTTAACTTCATATATCCTGTACCCAAATTGCTTGTGCCCTCACTGTCTCTTTGCATAATTTTTTGACACGTCCTTGACTTAACATACCCAAACGTTGTTAACTACTATTAGATAACAAAAAAGACCAACTTTTCTTCTTCGATTTATCGAGTCATACTCTCAAATCTCACCACTCACCAATCGAACATGCTCTCAAATACTCAATATTTTTTTTTTGGGTTTCATTTGCTCTTATTTTCTCTATTGCTTTCAATTTCACAGCTTAAGTAGATTTGATTTTTTCTCCCTATTTCATATATTTTGTATATATTATGATTGGATTATTCATCCATCTCGTTGTTCATTCATCTATCAACACTTTTTCAGAAATTTGTTTTTGTTTTTAGATTTTTGAAATTAGTAGTAAGAGATGGAGGAAAAGCGAACAATTGCGAGACTAATTAGCAATCCCAACAACAATGTTTTCATAAATTCAAAGAAACCAAAGGGACATGCGTTTAGATGTAAGACCTTGGTTTTTTTTTTTTGGGTCATATACGAATTTATGAGAAACAAGATTTAATGATTGAGGCTTGTTTGTCTTTGGTGAATGGTGAGACTGAGAAAAGGAGAGAAGATGAAGAAGATAGAAGGTTTCGAGAAGGTTAACAATGTTTGAGGCAAGTCAAGAGCCACATGTCAACAAATTAGGCAAACAGACAGGAGGGTAAATGCAATTTAATTTACTCCAATATCTCAAAAATGTTAATACCAACTAATATGTCTAGATTACAAAATAATGCTTGAGAACCCTAAATAGTTACTCAACAAATGCTATTAAATAAGATTACACAAACTATGTATAACTTACTCAGCATGCAATGCAAGATGTGAGACCAAATTAGAAGATCATACCTACAATATGTGTTGGTTTATAGGCGACCAATAAAAATCTATTGCCCAAATTAGAAGATCATACTTTATATATTCTGCATATATAAAGTATGTCCTCACAGTTTGCATGCGTTTTGGGGTTATGGCTGTACTTGCCCTTAAATTCATTTATGCTAATACAAATTTTTTATGATATTAAAAAAGGTGGCATAGTGATTTTTATTTTAACACGACAATTCTAGTAAATATTGAGTGGCCAGGTATGTTGTGTAATAAACTTAAATATCAGTCATATAAATTTGTAATTTATAATTTACTAGGGTTTGTAATAACTCTTCATGCACACCAAATTTCTTGTTTTTGTTTTGCTTTTCCAGAAAATGCCAATTTCCAATACAAATTTTCACGTTTATATTTGAACTTAGTAGAAATTTACCTGACAACAATGGGCCTAACTAATTGTTGAAAATTCATTTGAAAAATGGGCCTAATTGTAAACTCTACTTATTGAAAATTCAGTCCGCGGATTCTGCGCCTGGTGTGGTTGTTGAGCTTCTTGCTGCTGATGCCAGAAGCTTGGCTCGTCCAAGGATGGTTGTTGTGTAGTCCTTTTTGTGTTGTTTGGGCTTTGGCTCCTTATTTTACCAAAAAAAAAATTTCAGTCCGCAACCCACGGATATGACGAAGATATTTTTATATCATGCCTTTCTTTTTTGGATGAGATTCAATGGTGTCCACCGCTGACAGTAGTGACTAATCCCTTTCGCCGTGGAAGCTCTCCAAAGGAAGTAAACAGCTGGCCACGAAATGCGCTCCATTCCCATGGGCGGGGATCGAACCCCCAACCACATGGTTAAGGAATGAGGTGAGCTACCACCACACCACATCTCATGGTTATATCATGCCTTTCTTTGTTCATGGTTTGCAAACTCTGCATTTGACCAAAATTTTACGTAACCCTCTAATGAAATTTCGGTAGAGTCTACTTTGTTTTAATGACATTTCCCAATTTGTATATAACATATTAAACACTTTTATTATTTACTCATACATCTTCAATTACATTTTCAAGAATTTCCTCAATTATACATAAAACAAAACTCGACAGTATGAGTAAATTTCATTGATAAGAATAAAAACATGCACATAGCTTCTAATAACTTAATAACACACCTTCCTTAAAAAAAAAATATTTTATAAAAAATTACACAGTAACACCCATAAATTTCTAAATTACACATCAGTAGCAAAAACAAAAAACCTCATACTTTCTAAATATCTAGACCAAAATTTTTAAATAGTTTTATAATTAAATTACAAGAAAAAGTAGTGCAAGAAGAAGATTGGGAGTATAGGATAAAGCTGGACTATTATTTTTATTTTTATTTTTTAAAGAAGTTTGGGGAAGTTTTACAAAAATTTGGGTCGAGCTTTAACTCTACCTAAAACAGGGTTGGGCCTGTGCCACAGTGCCAGCAATCAATTCTTCTTTTGCAATATTCGTTTACAGCTGATTGAACCACATTATTACTATGGATTTTAAAGAACCGAACAAATCTTTTCTCAACTATTTAATTCATGTTCTTTGATGTCTCAAAAAACACTTGAATCATAGAAGACAATACATCACTAATATGATTTCTCCTTTTACTAGTTTTCTTGGAATGTGGATGCATTTTGAGTTTAATCCTTCCCATTAGTATCACTGTCACCTTCTAGTTTTATATCTGCTTCTATATGTCGAATCTGAGGGAGGTTTGGTTGAGTGATGGGCGCATGTCTTCTGATTATTGTTGTAACCCAAATAATTTGAGAAAAAGTTTCAGTTGCCCTTTGAGATCTCCTCATCATTAAATCAATAAATAGATCCTCATTGTTTTCAGGCCACGGTCCATCTTTCCCCTTATCCTCAACTTCCACAATATCATCATCATCATCAGAAATGTTCCTTGACCTTTTTCACATCTAGAACAAAGCATAACATAAAAACAAACTTCCAACAAGCATAGCATAACATACTTAAAGCAGTAAAAAAAAAAAAAAAACCTTATTCATATCCCTCTAGCTCAGACAAGACAACAACATCCACTACCACAATGTCTTGTGGACGGAATGCAATTACAACAATTCAATTATTCTGGGGATATGGTTGTGCCTCTTCTAGGTAAGCTTGCTCTACAGACGGAGCCGAGGAACTAATGGAAAAGTCACCGGTTAGACAAATTGACCGTCTCCTTAACAATGTGGAGAAAAACAGTCAGTCAAGCCTTATATCAGACTGCCATCTTGGTCTGCATCTAATCTAGAGCTCCTACTTAGTTTTTGTCTTAATTTTTTCCGTGTCATGTTCTACTTGTTGGAAGATATTGATTGATTTATTATATTGACTGGTCGGTCTTGTGATTGCTCCCTAGTTAGTTTGTACATTCCTCCAAGATGGAGAAGAATAGAACAGAGACGAGTTCTTCTTAAACACTAAGAGATTGTTCAGGGCTATAGCATTCTACTCAAGCAAAACTTATAAGAAAATTCAATATGGAGAGATATTATTACTCAACCTTTCTAAGCAAAACTTCTAAGATATATTGCTCTCATAGTACCTTTATTCACAGACAAGTCTTTAGATTTACTTTGACAATAGACATTTAATCCTGATTGCTCAAGTCAATAGAAATTGATCTAATCTCATGGGCTATATATTCCTAGCCATCATATATTCTTGTACATATATACTACATAGTCTCAAGTTTTTTTAGCCACCGACTTGCTCAATTTGATTTGAGTTGCATAATTAGTTCCAATGAATGAATTGGTTTGATTTGATAATTAAGTGAGGTTTGTCCCTTTTTCTTTCAAATTACACATACGCTTTAACACAACAATGGTCAAACCCAAAAGCAGTCTAAATATCAATTACCAGCAAATTAAAGCAGATGAAAGAAACAAAATAACAAATAAAGCGAATTTTAGAAATGTGCATACCTTTGATGGATAGCTAGAGGCAGTGAGATCTAAGAGAGGGGAGGATGTGAGTGAGATAAAGAACTGAGTCAATGAGAATGAGAGAGCAGCGAAGAGGCGGAGCAAGAGGGCAGAGAGACGAAGATGAGAGAGCAGAGAGAAGAGAGTGACAAATAGAGTAGAGAGCGAGTAGTGATTGAGCAAAGAGTGATAGTTGAAACAAGAAAGATACGTGAAAAAAATAAAACTAAAAAATGAAAACTAACATAAGAAATCAATGACTGATTTTGAAATGAGTTTTCTCTCTTTAAAAAAATAAAAATTGAAATTAGTTATCAAATAAGTTTTTAATTTTCAGTTTTTTTAAAAACTGAAAATGAAAACTGAAAATTGAAATTAAAATTATTATCAAACAATCCCTTAATTTACCCCAATATCTCAATAGAACTGGACCACATAATAATTCAAAGTAACATGTTACAAAATTTTGGTTCAGAGGAAAAAAAAAACTGTTACGAAGTAAGTTCTATCAATTAACATGCTGAAAGGTGTGGATATATAGTGCACATAGGTTGCACCTCAGTCAAATCTCCACCAACTTGTAAATTGGTACAAACTGTATGACTTGAGCAACATGCGAGATGGATGAGACAAAATTAGAAGATCATACCTAGATATATTTATTTATTGCAAAATTTAGAAAGAAGGGGAGGGATTTTTCACACGTTGCTAATGTGTTATGGGGGTTCGAACTTGAGATCATTGGTTTACAAGTCAAGACCATTTTCCGCTGGATTAGACCCCGTTGACATTTTTATTATTTCAATAGCGAGTTCGAGTTTGAGAATTGGGAGGCCTGTATATGTTAATACATCTGTCATATACAGTACATATATACATATGACTTTGATATTAAAAGTAGCCTTATAAAAGTATGTACAACATATTATACTTACATATAGCGATCTCTCTTTCAAAATCTTCATTGGAATATCCCAAATCCCAATAACAGTGACTCTTGAAAATAATAGAAAGTAAATTGTGAAGCTGCTTGAAGATTATTTATTTGTCAAACACTTAACAATTCATTTATATATTGGCCGCTTTAAGTTCTTCAGAATTCACTCCCGAAACAAGTGCTCCTCCCCTGATTTTTGATCAATATGCTTGATCCAACGGCTGGGACCCTTCTTGATTGATGATCCTACACTAGCGCTTCCACCACCATACCCAAGATAAGCAATATCCAACCCTTTTCCAACAGGCAAAAACACTGACCTTACGACACGTGTCCCCCTCTCAACCACACCGTGCCATCTGAATCCAGATAAGTTTCTTTGGCATGCGTTCTTGCATGCAAAAACCGCCCCTCTAGGGCTCACCTTAGCCCTCCTCAAAACCCTAGTGAAGTCCTTACGCTTGCAATCCACCACCAGAAAATCCACACCCGCCAACACCGCCACCGTCGCCTCCTCCCCAACTACCACTTCGGGCATAACCCCGGCATTTCTCGTTGCCTTTACGTACTCCAATCTCGACCTTTCATCCGGGACTATGCAAACGTGTCGTCCGCCCGTGTGGCGTGCTGCCATGGCAAGGCCGAGACTTGTGGCTATTGGAGTGCCGTGGGACCAGGATTCCACAATCAGCTTCGCGTCCCAGCCGGCCGCCATGGCAGAGAGAAGCTCGGGAACCCCGGATTCTCTAAGTTTCTCACACTGCAAAATTAGTAAACAATAAATAAATAAATTGTAAAATAAGCTTAATAACATCATAACCAAGAGATCTGATCAATTGCTCACTGATTTCACAGTGTCTATGTAAGCTTTTGAGGCAGTTTCTGGCGACCAAATGAGCTTCATAACCTCTCTTTTCTCTGTGTGTGTGGATGCTTTGAGAGAGAGCGAGAGAGAGAGAGGGAGAGAGGATGATGATGATGATGAAGAAGAGGAACTAAATTCAAATGGAGTATATGAGCAAGGTGTTTGATATATTTATTTGGTTTTAAATATGGTTTGGGAGAAAGAGAAAGAATTGTCGCCTAGCTATATCTTTTGGTACAAACAACAAAGCTAGAGTTGACATTTGGGAACACATGCAGTTAGGAGGCTTTAACGTGTGTGATTTCAGCATTAAATAACACACAGATATATATATATATATATATCGTCATCTGGAAATTCATTGATCATCAGTTTGCAAGTTGAGGGCTCTTATCTTTTTCTCCTCTCCCTGCCTATCCTCTAAGTGCCATGTACCACCATGACTTGAAAATTGTACGTACGGTATTATAGTTTTGACTCTTAATTAAATTAATTAGAATTTAAGATGCCTAAACCAGAAGGAGTACAAGTTCTAAATCGGGGATAAGGTTTAAGTTAACGACGGCTAGATTGCTTTGGGCGGCATAAACATGCATTAATGTACTTTTTTATGAGGATCCAAGTTGCAACAACTGAGAATTAAGAAATTTTTTGTTAGATTTTGTCCATAAGCGCCGTTGAATATTAATTAAAGTAAGCATAATGTTACGCTTACTACATTTTTATATGAAAAAGTTTGGCTCCTTAATAGTGGCAGATCCAGGAATTTCCTTTTCAAGGATCAACGTATAAAAGCTCACAAATTTTTTAGACAAATCTAGAATACACCAAATTATTATTAACCAATCTACAAAAATTTAAGACCATATTATTATTAACCAATCTTACAAAGATTCAACGCCTAGAGTAAGCAACTTTAAATTTATGATGATACTAAGAAAATTTATAAATATTGTAGTTGTATGACAAAAATATGTGGTACCCTACGAGTCTTTAAAAGCATTAAATTCATCAATAAAAAACTATAATCTACGAGTCTTTACACGTGTCTGTAAAACTTGCACCAGTTCAGCAAAGTCTTGATTTTTTTCGATTTGATTGTTTGAGAAACTTATGCAATTCTACAACTTCAGCCTTCAAGGATGTGACTTCAGCCTTCAATGAAGCACATTCTTGGTTCCTTGCTAGCAGACGCAATCCTAAATTTGCCACCGAAGCAGCATTGTGAGCATTGAGAAATTGGGTCTCTTCCACTGCAGTTTTGTTAGACCTCCTTGCCATTTCATTATGCAAGTGCATACTTGATAGAATTTCTTTATGCATGTTTACTGCTTGCACAAAAGTAGAACCGGTATGGAAATTAGAGTGACATTTCATGTTGTGTTTCCTAGTTTAAAGGAGTAGCAAGAGATAAATTCAAATCTGATGAGCTTTCAGGAATCGAAAGGAATTCCATTTTGATTTGTTTTCATATTGAAGGAAGTCCTGGTAAGAAAATTGGCAGATTTTTCTTCAGGCTTTTTTATTTTTTATTTTTTATGAGTTGTAATATTGTGTTTTCCTCTTGTTTCATATTATGGACGAAGATCTGAGATTTGAGGGATTTGTGAGTGTTAATTATAAAAATAAGGAAAAGAAAGAAAATATTATAAATATTATATATAAAAAATGGTTTTTAATCAAAAAGAGGAGAAATAGAGAGAGGAGAGAGAAGAGAGAAAGAAAAAAAAAGGAGAGAGAAGGAAAAGCAAGAAAAAAGAGAAAGGGAGGGAGGGAGGAGAGAGGTATTGTCGGGCAACAATAGCAATTACTGCAAGTTTTTTCTTGTTTAACCTATGCCAAAACGACGTCGTTTTGGCCAGGTTTTAAAAAAATAAAAATGAAACGACATCGTTTTGACATCTAGCGAAATAAAAAAAATAAAGGCGCACGTTGTGCGCAAGCAGCGTTGGAGCATACAGACAGACAAGTTGCCCCTTTGGGGCATTTCATCGAACACCTTGCGAGGGTCAATTTTTGCTCCTCTAATGGCAGATTTCAGAGGTTGCAGGGGTCAATTGATCACCCTTGCTCCTCTATGGATCCACCCCTGCTCCTTAAGATTGAGGAGTAGTTCCTCCTTACGACCAATGTGGTTTTGACACGTGTTATTTTTTTTATTTTTTATTTTATTTTTTGTTGAAACTTTGTCAATATTGTTGGAATTTGACTAGTGCCAAAATCCCATTAGTTTTAAGGAGGAGCTTCTTCTCAATTTTAAAGAGCTGAGTCATGCTCTTCAAATATTATATTGCGTACCACCTTTCTAGTAGAGGTGGAACCCACCAATACAATGAGACCCATTTCCATTAAAGAGATGGTACACAATGTGGTAAGTCTAACATTTTCCTTAAATTAATAATATATCTATTGATGTTTTCAAAGAAAAAGCTTGGTTCCGTAAGATTGAGGAGAAACTCCTCCTTACAACTAATGTGATTTTGACATGTGTTAAATTATTGTAATCAATAAAGGTGAAAACATACATATGCACAAATTTGTTTAGGTCATCGATGGAATTAGTCGTGGAAATGAATTTATTTACATATAATTCTAGCTAGTAGTATGGTAAAACGAATAAACAAGCTCAGACTGTAGTGTCGCCATTTCTACAGAATCCCATCTATATAAAATGTTTTCACCCTATTTTTTAGCATGATTGGTGAAAGGCATCTTTCTGATTGGGTGGCTAGGTAGGTAGGGCAGGGCAGTAGGGTGAGCTGAATTCAAGTATTTTTGTGGGCATATGTTTTCATGTCATGATGAGATAATGAAGGTTGTTATATTTCTAGTCAACATGATAAATCCCAATGATTCGTTGTAGCACTCTCGAAAAATATCACCTTTACTAATGTACCTTCAAGGACAACAATACCTTAACAAAATCTTCCAAACACATCATGCATATTTAGTTAATTAACTATATAAAATAGAGATATAGCTTACTTCTATGAGGATGTGATATTACTATCCCTTAATTATATAACTGGCATATATGATAACTATGTTAAATTTAAGAGAGACGGGTATGCCCCCACTATTAACAACACTGATATTGTCCCCAACTTAACCACCTACAAATCCCAGTAGGTGTGAGATTTTATTACAAAAAGTCTCGGTGTTATTAGTAGTAGAACCATTCATTATATTTTATATTTTATTTAGTCAAGTTTCCGATGTGGGACTCATATTCTTCAACACACTAGAGTACACATGACTAAGTCTCAGTTATTATTTTAGATTAATTTGGATCAAAGTGGTATATGAATAATATATATATATATATATATATATATAACAAAGGCAACTTGCATAACTAATGTCCTTGGGGTGTGACAGATAATGACAATATATTGTGCTGAGTCAGTATACCCTCAACTTGCCATAGAAATATTATATATCTAATCAACAACAAGGTTGTACAAATAAACATTAATTGGTGATGCAAATGATAAGATCGCATCGTTATTACTATTTGACTTAAGCCAACTAGATATATATCTATATATGTATATTATATATGCACCATTCTAAGTGTACGGCCATCATGATTCCAGTTTTGGGGAACATACATAGACTCAACTGAAGTCAACCTTATATATTATTAGAAATTAATTAAATACTTGCACGCCTAAGAAAAACCCTATAAATGACTATAAAAAAAAACCATATAAATAATATAACGAAAATTTAAAAATACAATTTATTTTAAACATGGGCGGAGATATTTATGTCAAGGGTTGTTGAAGTAGTCAAGTAATTGAAGGTTCGTGACTTCACTGACTGCCAAAGTGCTATAAACAACTAGAATTAAGCATAAAAGTGACTTCTACAAATATTTTGTTGTCTATTTGTCCCACGAAACGTAATTTGTTTGTTAGCTCAACTCAACACATAGAATGACTTTTGAGAAGATATGAGATATTTTCCTATGTAATCAACAATCCTTCTAATGCACAATTGATCAATCTAACGTGTGTTAAATGCCAAAATATAAATCTAACATATGTTCTACAACGGAAGCCGATGAATTCTAAATCTCTCCACGAGAAAATTTGACTATCACAGATTTATAACCCATGTGCTTATCTCTCTCATCACCACACGATGAGAAACATATATATATATATGGATAACACGAATCCATTTATGTAAGTTTTTCTCCATACATAATAAAACCACAAAGCTCTTCTGTAATTTGTTGTAAACATTAATAGGTCTTTGAAAGATATTGGTTTGTTCATTATCACAGAGACAAACTAGAAATGGTAAGTAAATTGGAAAAAGAGAAGCTGTTGCCTTCACCTACCTCATATTTGAAAGCAACGGGATGACAACAACCCCAAAAGGATCAAATCCCTTTTTATCTATTTGGTTTGCATAAATATCTAAACCGCCTGACGACCCTAATCTTAAATGGCATCTAATCCCTTTTTAAGAAACTTTGTAATTCAGATTAATTGACCATGTCAATGTCAACGATCACAAAGTGTTTTTCATTCTAGCTGCTTCTAGGTGGTTAGTCAGATTGGGCTCTGGATGGATCATGGGCACAACTTACGTACCACATCTAAGCCCAACCGCTTTTCCTTCTTCTTTTTTTTTTTTTTTTTATCATTGGCACTCCAAAAGAGTCATAATGCAATCCCCGTCATAATAACACAAGGGATAAATTGCAATAGAGATGTATGATGACTTTTTTGGAGCGTCAATAGAAGCTCCTCTTTATATTTGTAACAAGAAATATCCCTGGAGTAAGAGCTAAGTTGATTTTAACTCTCGTAATCTAGTCCTTTTAGAGGAATTTCATGGTCATGTCAGTTGGAATTTATTGCTGAACCTATGTATCAAGCCTTATCCTCAGTAGAAGGACCTGGGTGAATTGGAGTCTTTCTGTACTGTGTACTATAGCATTCACAGGCACCCTTAATTCCCTCTCTCTCCCTCTTTTTGGAAGAAAAATGATAAGGAACAAGCCAGGCAGGTTAAAAACGACAAGGCGGCTTCACACGCAACCTTAGCAAAAGCAATGAAA